CAGGATTTCAGCACTTCCTGTTTGTTACATTCCCCTTGATCCTGCCCTACCAGGTCTCCCACAACCACCACCCCACCAATTTGGATAGCTTGTTGTTCCCTTGTCCCTGGGTTTGTTAACACCTCTTCCCTTCACCCCTCCTCCCCCTCTCCCATGCCCCCCCCGGAACTGTCAGTCCCGTTGTTTTCTCCTCCAGATTGTTCATCCAGACAGTAGGTTTTCAACAGTTACAACTATTGCTAATAGATTCAAGAGTGACTTTAGGTATTCCAGGCATTTCTTATTGAACAGTTCAGTACGCCTATCTTATTTTTGCCTCCCAGTAAGGAAAGGAAAAAGCTGCCAGTCTCTTGGGGGCCAAGACTTAGAGAACGTGTTCCCTTCTTTCTCTCCCCCACCGCCCCCCCACCTTCTTTAGAAACTGAAATAGAGAAATTATATAAACAAATGCTGGGGAACAGCTCTGGTACCAGTGGATATTTGCAACAAGATCTTCAAGCTGGTCTTTCTCTGCCATAAAAGGCTTGGGACCAGAATCAGGAATGGTCAGATATTTTTAAAGGGGCAAAGGTTATTTTTAACTTCTTTCACCCTAGTGAATTTGTTTTCCCAGATTGCTCTTTTACCTATCTGAAAAAAGAATCTCAAAGGAATTGTTCCATTTTACTTGTCACAGCCTCTAGAATCCTGGGCTAAGTCTGGTCTTGGAAATGATCCCATTACTTAGCAATAAGGGAGAGCATGCAGAATCCAGAAGAAAGTCAGACAAGTTAAATGATAGTGAAATACACTGATCATTAAACAGAGAGATGGAGTCAAAAGGGTACATTAATTACATAGTTCATAGTTGTGTAGATAATATAAGAGAACAAAATGAAATTAACAAGGTTTTTTAGTAGCGTTTTATGCTAGTCAATGAAAGAGATCAACTGGAGAGTCCGTTTTATGAAAATCAAGAATAGTTTCTGGAAATATGGAATGTAAGTCGATGATCTCTCATTTTCTATGTCCCATTATATGAAACAATATAAGCCTCCAGTCCTGAGCCCTTACGACCTATCTGCATGTTACTTTGTTGTCAATCTTTGGATAACTCCCTTCTTTCCTTTTTTCAGATTGCAACGTGCTCAGATGACAATACACTTAAAATCTGGCGACTGAATAGAAGTCTGGAGGAGAAACCAGAAGGAGACAAGTCTTCCGTACTGGGTTGGGCCTCTCAGAAAAAGAAGCAGGAAAGAGACAGCCTGGGTAAGAATCCCATGCATTTTTCCTGAGCACTTTGTGATTTGATTGTTCTGATCCTATAGTGCAGAGTGGTAAGCTTGGTTGTTTTTGTATGTTTTAAAAGGAAGGAACCATTCTGATGACAATGATTCTTTTCGATCTTTTCTGAACACTAAGGCACCAGGCATTGGAATATAATGATGGATTCATTGAACACGTTTTTCTTGAGTCCCTACATTGTGTTAAGCATTATTCTTATGACTGGGAACTCAGCAATGAGCCAGAGTCAAAATTCCCAAGGATGTGATTGGAGCTGAGAGAGGCAACAAACAAAATAAGTAAAATAAATAGTATGTCTAATAATAGTAAGTTCTAAAGACAAAAGGAAAGCAAGAAAGAGATTGAGTAATTGTTCCTGTTGAGAATGAATTGTAAGGGAATCAGGGTGAAAGCAGGAAGCTATTAAGAAAGACAGTGAAATAATTCAGGAAATGATGGTGACTTGAACCAGAGTGGCAGCAGAAAATATGGTAACAAGGCACCCAGTTCTAGGTGTATTTATAAGATAGAATCAGCTGGCTGGGAGAGCAGAGGGCTCCAGTATGTTGAGCTTAAGCTGCTAGAATGGGCTTGCCATCAACCTACCATATATACTCAAGTATAAGCTGACCTGAATATCAGCCGAGGCACCTAATTTTACCACAAACACTGCATAAAGAGGTGTTGAAAAACTCAGCTTATAAACAAGTATATACGGTAGATCAGTATGACTGCTGGAGGAATCAGTTTGAAAGGGAACAACTAAAGTGTTCCATTTGAGTATGTTGTATCATAAGATTATTAGCTATCTAAATGGGAGATGTCAGGGAGGTGGTTAGATATTTAATTGTGCATTTCAGAGCCAGAGTTAACAAATGTGGGAGTCTTCATCATATAAGTGAAAGTAACTAGATTGAAAAAAATAGGCCTGTGGTCTGAGTCTTGCCCTGATGTTTCGCGATTAAAGAATACGAGTACAGCTGGTACAGATAGGAACTGGAAACACAGGGATTACAGGACAGATAAACCCTCAGGACCAGTGGTGAGAGTGGCGATACCGGGAGGGTGGAGAGAAGGTGGGGTGGAAAGGAGGCACTGATCACAAGAATTTACATGTAACCCTCTCCCTGAGGACGGGTAACAGAAAAGTGGGTGAAGGGAGATGTCAGACAGTATAAAACATGACAAAATAATAATTTAGAAATTATAAAGGGTTCAGGAGAGAGAGGGAATGAAAAGGAAGGGGGAAAATGAGCTGATACCAAGAGCTCAAGTAGAAAGCAAATGTTTTAAGAATGATGATGGCAACAAATGTACAAATGTGCTTGACACGATGGATGTATGGATTGTGGTAAGAGTTTTACGAGCCCCCAATAAAATGATTTTAAGAAAAAGAATACTAGTACCGAATGAATGAACCAGCATAACCAGCTAGAAAAACCCAGGTGGGTTTGCTGTCCCAGAAACCAAGTAAATAAAGCATTTAAATGAGAAAGAGTCATGAAGGTGGTCATGTGTGTAGGTAGTCAAATAAGATGAGACCTAAAAATTGACCTTTGGATTTGCAGTGTGGGGATTATTTGATGGTCTTGCCACTGTTTTGGTGAAATGGCAGTAGCCTGGTTGCCATAGTTTAGGAGGACATGGGAAGAGAACCTAGAAACCAGAAGCGTAGGCTGTGTAGACTGCTTTTTTGAGACATTTTGCTGTAACATTATGGAGAAAAAGTAAAGTGGTAGCTGGAGGAAGAGAGGCTGAAGTTTTGATGGTTTATTGGTTTTTATTTTTTTCTTAAATGGAAATACAGCATTTTGTATGTGAGTCAAAGGATCCATTAGAGAGAGGGAAAATTAATGCAGGGAAATTTGCCAGCATAATGTCCTGAAATAAGCACAAAAGAATGCTTTGTAACACACACTGGTACCGTCAGGTCATTGCCAGGAGCGAAGATACTTCACCTTTAATAATTGGAGGGAAGGCAAAGTATACAGGAATTAATGCAGGTAGGGGTGGGCAAACGTATTCCTTAGTTTATGGTGGCTTTTCTGTTTTCTCAGTGAAATTTATCAGATGAGAATAAGAATGAGAGATGAGATGATAGAGGTTGAGGAGAGGTAAGAAAGTTTGAAATAATGGAAGAGTAAATAAACCAATGAATCATGAACAAAACCCAAGCATTGATCCAGCTAAAGGATCCCAATGTTTCTTAATAGATAATATGCACCTGAAAAGCAAGTTTAGAGATTCATTTTTATTTTATTAGTGCTATAGCACTAGTTCTTCAAGATTGAATTAGATAAATAGCAGTCCCTAAATCTTTTCCCTAGCTGAACCACTTAGAAATATTTTAGTTAGGTTTTTTATATAGATGTTCATTGCTAAATTATATTCATGCAATGATATCTTTTATCTTAGAATACAGCATAATCTATTGACTTCCTTTTGAGATATATGAGGATTTTCTAATAGCTTTATTGAGGTGATTCATGTACCATAGAATTTATTCACATAAAGTATCCGATTAAATGGTTTTTAGTATATTCAAAGACTTGTGAAACCACTATTACAACTAATTTTAGAATATATCCAACACTGTAGATGAGGTTTCCAATTTCTGTACATCTTCAGTAACATTTTTTGTCCATCTTTTTTATTACGGTCATCCTCCTAGTGGGTATTAGTGGTATCTGATTGTGGTTTTGATTTGCATTTCCCTGGTGGCTGATGAAGTTCAGCATTAGTTTATGAACTTACTGGTAATTTACATATATTAGGAGAACCCATTTTTCACTTGTATTGTCATTTTGTCACTGAATTCTACGATTTCTTTATATTTTAAGACATGAAGTCCTTTGTTATATAAAAGATACATACAAGGAGGCTTCAACATGCAAAAATTGTATTATCTTCTCTAATTGAAGATATGTTTATTGAGGTATAATTTACATACCGTAAAGTTCACAATTTCACGTTGGAGTTGAGAAATGCAGTCATTCAGTCACCACTGCCAAGGTTTAGCTGAGTTCCTTCACTTCTCAAATCATCCATGCCCCACATCCACTATGCCATAAAGGGTAGGATTCGGTCATTTCAATGATTGTAATGTAAAACAAAGTGTAAGCTTATGAAACAAAATGGTTTTTTTTTAACTCAGTTATTTTTCAAAAGTTTTTGTTTATTTTATCACATCTGAAGAATAAACATGATGTAGAAAAGTGGGCTGGAAAAAGGACTTCATTGTATATAGTAAGAATGTTTTATGCCAATTGCCAGCCTATTGCGCCTCCCTTATTAAGAAATAGTATGTTGGCCCAACACCACTTGTCTGTCAGTTTGTCATACTATGATGGCTTGTGAAAAATGCCAGCAGGGTCACAAAGTGAACAAGTTTCAGGGAGCCTCCAGACTAAAAGCAACTATGAAGAAGGCATCTGTTGCCCAATTTGTAGGAAGTAGCCACTGAGTACCTTATGTGCAGAGCATCTAAACATTGTCAGATACTGAAAGACGAGTGGAAACAGCACATTGTCAGAAAGCATGCCACAGGCTGGGCCCATCAGGTTGAATGTGAATGAAGAGAAGTTGACCATGGTGACATGTATGGAGAAAAGTACTAAAGCCTTTGAGATCTTCGTTTGCTGATGGGGCACAACTCAATATAAGAAGAAATGGCTCTAAAAACTAATTGGAACTTGGAATGTACTATGTAATGAATCTAGAAAAAAATGGAAGTTGCCAAAAATGAAATGGAACACAAAGATCGATATGCTAGGCAGTAGTGAGCACAGATGGACTGTTTTGGCCATTTTTAATGAAAATAATATGGTTTATTATGCTAGAAATGCCATAATCAATAGGAATGACAATGCATTCATGGTCAAAAAAACATTTCAAGATATATCTTGACATACAGAGCTGTGATAGAATTATATATTAGCTGCCTTCGAGGAAATCCAGTCATTACAACTGTTATTCAAATCACTAAAGCTAAGGTTGAAATTGATCAAACATGGAATCAAGGTGCATTGATAATTATTGGCAATTGGAAACAAAAGAAAGAACAAGTTAAAAAATATGGTCTGGGTGTTAGAAACTACACTGGAGATCACATGTTATGGCTTTGCAAGACCATGGACTTCTCCAAATGAAATACACAGAAATCAGATTGACTACATTGTAGGGAGAGATGATGGAGAAATCTGATATCAGTTAAAGCCAGGCCAGGAGCTGACTGGAACACACCATCAATTACTTACCTGTAAGTTCAGGTTGGAGCTGAAGAAAATTTGTTTGTTTGTTTGTTTGTATTATTTCTCACAAGAAGTCTACTATCATCCTCTATTGTTCTCTGTATAACATATTTTATTTTCTCTGTTATTTTTACCATTTTCTCTCTCTTTTTTTTATTGTTTATTGTTTTTGTTTTTTTTAAACATTTTATTAGGGGCTCATACAACTCTTATCACAATCCATAACACACATCAATTGTGTAAAGCGCATTTGTACTTCATTCTCAGAACATTTTCTCTCCACTTAAACCCCAGACATTAGGTCCTCATTTTTCCCCTCCCTCCCCACTCCCCCCTCCCTCATGAACCCTTGATAGCTTATAAATTGTTATTTTGTCATATCTTGTCCTGTCCGACGTCTCCCCTCGCCCCCTTTTCTGTTGTCCGTCCCCCAGGGAGGAGGTCACATATAGTCCCTTGTAATCGGTTCCCTCCTTCCTACCCACTCTCCCTCCACCCTCCCTGTGTCGCCACTAAAACCACTGGTCCTATAGGGCTCATCCGCCCTGGATTCCCTGTATTTTCAGTTCCTATCTGTACCAGTGTACCTCCTCTGGTCTAGCCAGACTTGCAAGGTAGAATTCTAGTCATGGTAGTGGGAGCGGGGAGGAAACATTTAGGAACTAGAGGAAAGTTGTATTTCTCATCATTGTTACATCGCACCCTGACTGGCTCGTCCTCCCTGAGATCCCTGTG